CTTCCTTCCTTCCTTCCTTCCTTCCTTCCTTCCTTCCTTCCGTCTGTCCTCCCTTCCAAAATTTCCTTATTTTATTTTATGTGCATTGATATTTTGTCTGCATGTATGTCTACGTTGAGGGTGCCAGGTTCCCTGGTGGATTACAGACATTGTAAGCCTCTGCATGGGTATTGGGCAGTGAACTGAGGTCCTCTGGATAGGCAGCCAGTGCTCTTAACCACTGAGCAATCTTTCCAGTCCCTAATTTCTTAGTCTTGTTTCTTTCTTTCTTTCTTTTTTGTTTTTGTAGCCTGGCAGTATTGGAACTCTTTCTGTAGCCCAGGCTAGCTTCGAACTCACAAAGATCTGCCTGCCTCTGCCTCCCAAGTGTTGGGACTAAAATTGTACAATGCCACTGTCTGTTTTTCTATAATAAATAATGGAATATATTAATATTATTTCTTGACAGGTCTCCCTGGGTTGATTTTTGTTATTGGTGGGCTTCAATTTGCCAAGAATTAAATCTTTAGTGTTGGAAACAAATTAAAATATTATAAAAGAAACAGTACAAACTTTCATAAAAAGCCGCTCTGGCCTGCAGTAAAAAAGAGGTGACCTGAACCAGTTCTCCAAGTGACCCAAACAAGCCACTGAAAACAAGGCATCTCTTTGTTTCTCATATTCCAGTGGGCAGAGAGTAGCTAATATGTTTCCATCTGGGGCAAGGAGCTCGGAGATGTCTGAGCACAAGGCCTCTGTTGTCCCGCCACCCGGAGTCTGGCCATGTGACAGGCTGTACTGATGTGCATGCCATATGACATTGCTCGTGATGTGCAAACCTCTCTGGGGATGCTGTGTGGCGGGATCTTCAGCTTTTGGAAAACTATGGGGAAAAATGATTTCCATGCACTCGCATCAAGTCCATTCCATTATAATGTCAGGAAATGGATCCCTAGAATCTAAACAAGTACCGTTTACCCCCTTCATATAAACATAAGTATGCAACTCTACGCAAATCCCCATGATGGATACCTCACAGCGCACTAGAATTAAATTAGTGAGTAAAGATGATAGCCAGGAAGGGAATCTGTTCAGATGCTACACTCAAATAGGCTCTAAATTCAAACCAGAATCTCAAGCACTGGCCCCAGCACTTTGTGGGGGTGCCCTCAGCAACGCGTAATCTAAAACCTTCATGTATAAACCTTGGGTATCCTGGATCCTAGCCCTGCACTCCTTCCACTATGTTGTAAATGGCTTTTATTGGATGAACAAATGGTAATGCCATTCTATGTTAATGGATGGTGCTACGAAAGGCGCTAAGGTATAACACCACTTGAGCCTCCCGGGGGGAAAATACAGGACAATTTGCAGAACTGTCTACGGTGAGCACATGTCAGCCACGAGGGCCTCAAGCACTTATGGCCCATCGCCACAGAATTCAGTGATAATTTCGCTCCTGGATAAGAGAATTCTGTAACTATGCACAGATTTATTAGGTCCCAGGATTAAAATTCTCTCAGAAAGAATAAAAAGTAATTGTACTTTAGAATGCATTGTAATATCCACATGATTTGAAAACAGTCACCTCAGCAAAACTAAAGGAGGGGAGAAGATGCAGAAGTTAAGGGCGCTGCTGGCAGTGTGAGCCATAAACCTGTGTGAGTATGGCAGGTGACGCAAGGCATGGTCTGGCGCATTCATGTTGCCATCACATGGAAACGGGAATCCCGGCTCCAGCAGAAGGCCTAGCTTCCTTCCTTCCAATCGCTGAGAGCTGGCCCTGACTCCCCATCCTTCTAAGCCTTTACCCTGCCGTTCTGTTCCACTTATGCCTCACTTCTGTTTACAGGAGGAATTTCCTTCCTGGGCCTTTATGTTCTTGTTTTCCTGGTTTCTAGCCTCTCTCCTAGAAAATGTAGTGGATCTGTGGTATTATCAATTAGCTCAGCCATCTGCTGTGATCTACACTCACCTACCTGTTCGTCTCTGCTCTTCAGATGCCCCAAATGCCCTTCAACTTGGTATGTCTATAAATGGATTCTTCTTCCCCCTCCACCTAAAATAGGAGTAATCCTAAGTGCCCCCACTGCTCACCTGGAGAGCGTCCCTCCCAACAGCTCTGCTCCGCACCATTTCAATGGTTTCCACCCTTACTGCTACGTCTGCTTACCTTTTCCCTTCACCTTCCATGGCTGTCAGAACAGGAAACGGAAATCACCAATGTGACCATACCACCCTATGGTCCTTCCACGAGACCTGAACACACACGCCTGAAGGGCCAGCACTATCCAGCCCCTCCTATCTCTATCCACCAACTTTCTAGTCACTTTGGTCTACCTGGTGCTCACAGTGCTCTGACGGGCTGAACTCTGTCATTTCCTTTGCTGGGGGCCCCCATCATTCCTCAGTTCACGTCCTATTTATCTTGTAACTACCAGTGAGACCAGCCCCAACCACAAGAAAGGTCATACAGCATATGGTAAGGTCACATCAATTCCTGAGAATCTGTCACAGCTGGTGTAATGTACTTCCTAACTGGATCTCTGGAATACTAGTGTCTGCCTCTGCTGGCAGGCAGACAATTCTACCAGGGCAAGGGGCCACATCTATTTAGCCCACTACCGTTTTCCTAGCTGCCTTTCCACACAGAAAGGACACGAGAACTCCAACTGTCATCATTTTGAGCCATTTTTAAGGCCCTCTGCTTCCTTCACAAGAGAGCACTATCCCTTAAACAGCATGGCCTCAAACAAGTACTCCTGACGGCCTTGACCACATCAGGTTTCCCCAAGTTAGTCACAGGGCAGAAAAGTTATGAAGAAAATTGGGCATTACAAAGGCTATCCATAGAAACCAGACCTCAAAAGGACAACCAACCACAGCCATGACTCAGCAAACGTGGCATGGTGGCTTTTATGGTTTTCACTCGGAGGGTTCTTCCATTCCTTTCTTCGGTCTCAGAGGGGTGCTGGTGTGTGTCAGATATGCAGTGTGCTGGGAAAAGGAGCCCCGTGCTTGTGCTAGGAGGAAAGATGACTGTGAAGAGTCACCAACTGAGTGAGGCAAGGGACAGTAAGAAAAAGGCCAGGTCTCACTGAGGACACAGCATCTTCCAGTAACCCCTCCATTACCAACTACCTCCAGCAGCACCTGAAGACTGTGGGACTTGGCTTAAGGGATTCCACCCGTGACTGATACCACTACCATTTCTCTAGTACAGGACTTCTCAAGGGTTCTAAGAGGATAGCTCAATTAATTCACCATCTTCTCATACAGCCGCCCCACACAGGGCCAGTTAGTCCATCTGTGGACACTAATCCACCCACTCACAGCTCCAGTCTTCTTTGTGCCCCACGTGCATGGAGGGGGCTGTGGCAGAGGGAGCACCAAGTGGGGGGTTGTGAGCCACTGTTGTAGGAGGGTTAGTAGTGGGGTGGATGGAGACACCAAGGCTTTCCCTAGTTCTCTTTAGAAAAAGTCAAAGCTCTGAATGTCACTGAAGGAATCTGCTTTACTTAAAATGAGTTTCAACTTCCTACAGTGTAACTTTCTGATGTGTAAATTATGTACATCTTTCTTTCAAGTCCTGTCTACAGGTAAGAACAAAAAAGGCCAGGGCTGAGCAGGAGAGCACACAGCCCTGTAAGCCCAGCAATTGGGCAGTGGAGGCAGAACCGTGGATTCCAGGCTGTTCCCCGAGACCCCCTCAGGAGAGCAAGGAAGAAGATGAAAGGAGAGGGGATGACAAATGACAAATTTGTCCAGAACGAACCAAAGATGATATATGGAGGCATGTCGAATCACACAGGGGGAGAGGTAGACAAACACAGACAATACAACCAACCAAAGGCGTGTGGAGTTTTTAGCCCCAACAAGAGGAAAATAGGAGAGGTTTATCAGCATCGTATACTATCCACTGTTTAATCGGAAACAAAATAGGCAATATAAATTTTTAAAAATAAAATACGGACTCAATATAATTGAAGGTCAGAAATGAGGCTTCATGTTTTAAAAAACAGTTTTCTTCAGAGGAAAAAATCATTATGAATTTTTAAAAATACTAACTTTCATTATTCTGACCAACTTGTGAATTTAGAAAGATTTATTTGTGAAGTAATACTTTTCGGGAAGAAAAATATCCATTTTTGAGAACAGTACGGGAAGGTATGAATTGTAAGTAATTATATAATACTACTGCAGTGTGTTGGTAATTCGCGAAGAAACACACAGGATGTCCAAAAGGTAGAAACATGTTAATGTTCTCCTCTTTACAGGAAGTGACTACACCATCTAGCGTAATTTATTTTGGTGTTTTGCCCAGTGTGATATCAGATTTCTAAGAACTGTAAATTTTTAGGTGATTTCCCCTGAACAAAAATACAAGTGAAGTAAAACTATGGGTTGATGGCAGCTTCTTGATTATGAGGTGGAACACTAGGGAAAACATAAACACCGTGCAAAAGCCCAGCCTGCCCGTCTGTGTGTGAAACTGGCTTGAGGAAGGCAGTGGGAAGGATGGGCAAAGTGAGCACCAAAGAAATTAATAATGTGCAACACATATAGAAATACATCCCAGAAATACATTCGCACTATCTTAGGTCAGGCGCTCTGATTCTAATGAAGCTCAGGTGAACAATCACAAGGCAGCCCCGGCCTGAGTCAGAACGTAGCACTAAAGGTTGCGTGGGTGATAAATGGGTGCATACAGATGTGAGTCCTGCTATATTTTTCATCTAACATCTGGGTTGTTTTTTTTTTGTTTTTGTTTTTTGGTCATCTAGCTCATCACTTTAGCGTCACCTCAAAGCAACAGGCCTGAGTGAGCTCCTAGAACCCTGAAAGGAATGGCCACTCCAGGAGGTGTCACACAGGTGACTCGGATGAGTGTCCTCAGACCAGGTAAACATCAAACAACAAACCATGAAGGAGCCCTTGGGTAATGTGGCCACAGGACTTCCTTCTGTTGGAAATCTGTGCGTGGCTGACACACTGATACGATTTTAAAAGAGTATCCTTACCCGAATTATTTCTTCCACACAGCTGTTGCTCTCTCCAGATCTACTCTCCTGAAAGCAAAGGAAAAATAAATTAGTCTTGATCAAACGGAAGGATGGCCACAAAGAGGATGACAAGCAAATTTCCAAGTTAGTGGGGCTGGGGGGCAGGGGAGTAGGCAATCTTGGCCTAAGGGAAGGTTGAAGGCAGGGAGTGCTGATGAGGAGTTTGCCTGGATGGCCAGTGCTCACTGGGCATCATTGTGCCTGCTTCCCCTTTCTTGGCAGGCAGAGCCACATGCATATGCATGTCCTCAGACTCTGCTCAGAGCTCTCCCGCTATGTTCATTTAAGTGGGGAAGTTCCTAGAAACACACACAAAAAAGCTCCACAGTTCTGAGAGCCATCCACCCTGTGCTTCATTCAAGTGTGGAAATCACTGACTTTACCACAGAGCAGATCCAGTCTACCCGTGAGATACACGCCATGGACCAGATGGGTATGGTGGTTACCACAGCTTAAACAGAAGCCTAGTTCCTCACAGCCCTCAAATCCTACCTCTGAGAGGCAGGGTGAGTCTAAAACTAAATACCAAATGAGAGCAGCCACAATCCTCTGGGCACTGCCAAGTACGCTGGTGTCGGATCTCACCAGAGCCACTTGCTCTGCTGTCATGCTTGTACTGTAGGCAGCTCCGAGGTGGTGGCCTCGGGTCACAGCGGATTGGAGAAGATGTTAAGCTCCACAGACTCTTGTTTAGTTACCGCTGGTTACACAGTCAAGAGCAGAGGACGTGGTTTTATGGGAACATAAAAGCAATGAGCATCTACTGTTGGGTGTGCAGCCTGTGGTCCCAGGGAAGTCATTCTGCGGGTCCTGTAATTCAAGGGTGCCAACCACAGCATAGTGTGACATACCAGAATGGGACATTTTTGTGCTCTGTCAATCAAACTCACTGCCCTTTCTTCACAACTCCTTTTCCTCCAGGAACGCCATCTGTGCCTTCTGTAGTTTCTGTAGCTAATTCTGAAGCATCCGTTGGGTCATAGCTCACCCACAGTTTCCTCAAAGTAGATATACTTGACCCTGGCGTTCTCAGTATATGCCTGTCTCATCCTAGCTCCTCACAGCTGCAATTCAATACCCGGAACTATCCCCCTATTTAGAACACACCCCATGTGCGAAGTCTCTGTGTCACTCCAAACTGGGTATATACTGTCTATAATATGCATGTCAGCTGATGTCAACCTAAGGAAGGAATGAATGCATTTCCTTTCTGTGGTCCTCTTATTTAAACTTGTCTTTTGTGAAACGGTCTTCCTACACAGCCGAGGCTACTCTGAAATCTAGCATCTGCCTGCCTCTACCTCCCAAGTTCTGCGTATTATATTCATTACCACACCAGGACACTTCCTGATCTTCTGAGGTACATGAATGTACTTCATCAGAATCTACTTACTCTACAGAGATGGATGCCGCCTCACTTCTGGTCAGCATGTTAGATGTGAAAAAGTCTCACAGGTGACTCCAACTTCCTCTGACATAGGATTAATGATTTGTCTGCCTCTGCCAACTGAGGCCCAAAAAATTGACATGACTTTGAAAAAAAAAAAGCCCATAAATTACCACAGCATAGACTAGAGTGTGGGATGCCTGACGTCGAGCTGTAGAAATTCTGATTGACAGATGTTCCCCAATCGTAAGCACTGTCCTTGAAATAAGCCAACTCTCACAGCAGGCATAGGCTAATTTGTTTGAGAAACAGAAGCTTGTGAGTAAGAGCACCAACGGCTACATAGAAAAGTCTCCGTCAGGCCAGGGTCTCGTGGGCCCGTGGAATGGCCCCTATGGTGTGTAATGGGAAGAATTAGTGGTCTCAGTTGGAAATTTTATCTTCAAACCCACAACCACTTCCCTTACATTCAAGTCTCCAACTGCTCTTCCGAGAGGACACACTGACAATACAAACACTAAACTCTCAATATACTTCCTATTTTCTACCTTAGAAACAATTAGAAGGGAAAATGTGGTCTCACATGACCCAGGTACTACAACAACTTACTGAAAACACTCCAAATTACACTTCAGGTTAAAGTCCTTAACGAAGCCTCCTCTGAAGGCAGAAACAGATCAAGAGACAGAAAGTCTGCTGTGATATGGTTTCCTAGAGATGTCAGAGAAGCCACGCCCACAAAGTCTCATCGACATGGCTGCCTACACAAGATCTGTACAAGAACTGCAGTGACAGACAGGCTAACATGGAAGAGGAAGTCTCATGGGGTCTTCACCCTAGACAGAGAACTACAGGGACTAAGAATGCTAAAGTAGGAGAAATAGTCGTCCCCAGAGAAGAGCACACCAGTTGGTAATCTCATACAAGTGGTCATCCCTGAAGGCATATACATACAAATAGCATCATATGGATTGAGCAGGTCATATTTATACATTTAGGAATACACACACACATTAAAGAATTAACAGCAATAAATTTGAGAGAGAGCAAAGGATGTAAGGAAAGGGTTAAAGATAGGAAAAAAGGGGGAAACAATATAATTATATTTTAATTTAAAAAAAAATGAAAAAGTTCTCTGAAAATAAAATTTTAATTTTCCTCGCCATGATGTATGTAGGGGACCAACTTTTCTTCCAATGATGTTCCCTACTGCCCTCTAAGTTCCCACTGCCTTACTTTAGGAAGGGCACACAAAGAGAAACGTGTAGCGGATGCACTGTGGAGCACTTCTGTCCCCAATGGCGATTGACTACATAGGATTATGACATTGGTTCACCTTAACGGCAGTGCAAACCAGGATAGACACAGCTGACCACCAAGAGAAAGTACCAAAGTGAGGACCAGACAATGGGCTTCCAGTGTCTGTCTGAAGAAAGTCCCACTCTTGAGTCAGAGCCTGAATAATCTGAGCAGAGTGACCCCCTTGTGTCTTCTGTTCAACAGTTCTCCTGAAAACTCAAGAAGGGTACCTCAAAAGAAGTACTCTACTGGCTTGGATCTTCAGGGCTCCAGAGACACTGGGGTGGACCCATGGGGCACAATATCGAAGCAAGTCTGATTCAAAAGGCACCCAAGAGTTTTTTCCCGCAAAATCAATGAGTTTGACAGGGAAATTATCATCCAAAGAAGTAAAGGGCTCCTCTATTCAAAATCACCACAGCAGCAAGAGGCAGCCAAGGCAGGAACCACACATGCCTTCAGCAGCCTCCTAGTGACTTTTCTATTTCAGGCAAACGTCCTATGCTCACTCCTGGGGCTGCCTATAGTGGAGCTGAGGTTCATGTTTCAAGTGGGGAAATGGAAGGATTCTGATAACATTTAGGTGAATTTCTTCATCTTTTTGATGCTACACATTATTCAACACTTAGCCATGGCCTATCAGTCAACTAACCTCCACATTATAGACAAAGAAAAGGGAAGGGAAACCGGAAAGGAAGAGTCAAAAGCCATTGTCCTTTCTAGCTAGTAAAACATATAGGAAGGGTATATATCCTCAGAAATGGGACCATGAAATTCCACTCAGCCTTTTCCAAATGCAGAGAAGGGGTAGGACGGGGAGTAGGAGAGGGAAAGGGACAGAAAAGCTTTCTGCCTTTTGGGGGATCTTTCTCAAGTCTGAGTTCTACTATTGTGTGCTTTGATTATATTTACAGTGTGAAAACTTTCTCTGTTTATGAGCAAGGCTAAAACGTGCATGTAATTTACATCTCCAAAATTGTGTTTGCATTTTTCCCAATAAAATCAGTGCTTCCCTTGGAAAGGTACCCACTGAGAAAGAGGCTGCACAATGTAAATTTTAATTACTCGGTGTTTTTTGTTGTTGTTGTTGAGGTTTTGTGGCTGTTGTCTCATGCTGAGTTGCTGTGCTGTTGCCCCGTATTTACTGTGACTCTGATGAACCCCCCTTCGTTTTTCTATCATTACATTCTGAAATCTGTCAAAACAGTCTCACCTCATTGAAACTCCAACTAAACTTCAATTAAAAGCCAGCATCCCTGGCCGATTCTCCTCCGCAGCCTTGGTTGTTACATGCCATCCCCGAATCCTACCGCTCTCACACACTGCACACCCTGCCAGGGAAACGCGAGGACTGAAGTTCTGGGAAAGGAGATCTCAAGAGGCAGCCAGCAGCACCGTGTCCCTGACAGCCCACGGCCTTAATTACCATGCCGAGCACAGCACACTGGAAGGAGCAAGGCTTAGGGAGAAAAAGCTCCATCAAATCAGAGTGAAATGGCATTTCATGGCAGAGGAGATGAGCTGCACACAGGACACATTTTAAAAACAGTTTAACTCTTCATCAGACACACTGCAAGGAAAAACCTCACCACGTCTCTGACAGCAAATCCTCAAAAGGCACTTGAACATTTAGAAATTGTTTATAACACACACACACACACACACACACCTAAATATTCCTACAGGACAATTTAAAAAAATCTTACTACTTTTCATTTACAAAAAACCTGAGACAAAGAAACTGGGTATTCTATCAACACTATTAAAAAAAAAATCCCGAAGATCTAAGCTAACACCAGGAAATACCACAACTCTGTGGGAGGCCCCATTTCTAAGATTAAGTCCTGGTGTAGCCCTCGCTCTGAGTACAAGATGACTGTGACCAATGAGGCAGATGACCCACAGTGTCTCAGATTTTGCTTCTCTCTGCCTATCCTGACATGCCACCATCCAGGGCTTTACTCTGCTTCCCTGTATTTGACGCTGGAGAGCCAGTTTCATCTCCCCTGCTCAGCCTCCCAACCTCACCTGTGCTGCTCACCCATGCCCCTTCCGCTCTGCCATTTCCATGCAGCTCAGCCTCGGTAATCTCACCTAGCATCACCACCAGCAGTGAGACATCCAGGCGCTCAGAGAGAGACAAGCAACCACAAGATAAAAGGGGTGGAATAAAGGGCGATCATAAGAGGTAAAAAGAGCAACAGTGGAATTATCATTACCAGCTGAAGGGCAGATTGCAGAGTCCAGGGGTTTACTGCAGAATGAGGAAGAAACAGGGCACAAGCAGACCATCAGAGTAAGACAGTTTAGGAAAGAGGGA